TATGTCCCTTCTCCAGTTCTTTGATCTTCTCCCGACCCGATGAGCTATATCCAAATCCTTTGGAGTGATCTCGAGGTCTGGGCAAAGTCCTTGAATCCAATTTAAGATTATTTGTTTTAAGTCCTCCTCTCCTGTCTCAGCTTCCTTAAAGTGTCTCAGACGGATGTTATAACGTCTCCCACGATTCTCCTGCTCTGTAAGTTTGTCTGTTAATTGCTGCACTTGCCTTTCCAATAGTTCATTTTTTGTTTGTAAATTCTGTGCCAGTTCAAATGCCGCATCTGCTGTTTCTTGTACTTTGCTGATATTTGCCTTGACCTCCATTAAAGTTTGTTCTAGAGGTGCAGTTACTCCCTTCATATCGCTTTGTATGTCTTTCCTTAATTGTTTCATTAGCTGCCTCATCTCATCCTTATCTTTATTAGGTTTTTCTCGCCCTCGTCCCTTCGCCTTACCAGTTTCCTCGCATTCGCTCTCGGAACCCGATGAGCTGGATGGCTTTCCGTCTTCATCTGAGGAGACTGCGCCTTCAACAGGGACTCCCTTTGATGTCTTCTTTTTTGTCTTCCCCATATCTAGGCAGCTTAGAATGTTTTAACTCTCAGTTTATAAACATTCACGCTTAATTGTTTATTTTCTCAGGGCTTTGAGCGGAGCTGATCTTCTATGCAGCCATCTCCGTTGGCTTGCAGACCATGCCCCGTTTCCCTGAAAATAAGACCTAACCTGAAAATAAGCCGTAGTATGATTTTTCGAGACACTCGTAATATAAGCCCTACCCCAAAAATAAGCCCCAATTAAATGAAAGCCTGCCCTCGACCATTGTGCAGCAATCAGATGAAGGTGACATGACTGTATTTAAAAAAATGTAGATTGTTGTACATGAAAAAAATAAAACATCCCCTTAAAATAAGCCCTAATGCCTTTTTTGGAGCAAAAATTAATATAAGCCCCTGTGTTAATTTCAGGGAAACACGCTATACATGCTGAAACAGACTAAAATGGCTACGCTGTTAGAACCACTAGGATTTCAGTCATTGTTAACTCTAAACATCTGTTTTAGCAGCTCATTAAGATGCCTTTTTAAACGGTTTTCTGTATGACTATCAGACATGGAAAAGCCCCCTATATTGCACTTTGAACTAAATATTTTTCTCATTGAAACAGGTGAAGCCCTATAATATCTACATAACAGTTGCCTATCCTCCAGATACAGATACACCTGGTTTTCAAGAGGAGACTCGGCATAAGGTAATTTGTGTTTTATTTTCTCTGTATCAGCTGTTCTGTGCAGAGAACAGGTTTCTTTCCTCCAAATTACTTATTTCTTCTCTTTATTTCTTTCATGGATTCAGGACAAATTGGAAATGATGTATCTTCATAGACACATGTAGAATAAGTTCCAGTGAAAATTAATGGTTTTTCAGAATTTCATGGCTGATTAGGAATCTATATGTGAGTCTCCTATATTGAAACCCAGTGTTCAATCCAGTGCACAACTTTTGTTTGTATATTGCTATGCTTTTAAATGGGTTACTTGATAGAACAGTGAGTGGTGGTTGAACTAGAAGTGCTGGCTTCTTATTTTGAACAGTAAATATTCTGTTCAAAGGATAGCTGATTTTGCTTCCTCGTCAAACCCAATGCAGGTTTTTGAATTTGCCTTTATTTAAAGTGTTGGAATTAGTGGCAGAGTAATCATGTTCTGCTCAGTTGCATATTTGTCCACTCTCCTTGCTGCACATATGTTTAGAGTAGTTAAAGTTTCAAAAGTGGAGAATAAGATACAATTTCTAAAAGTTCATTCCACTTACAATGAACATTCAAAGCCTGTGTTCATTACAGTGGTGTCCCGCATAGTGATGTTAATCCGTTCCGGATTAATCGTCGCTATCCGGAAACATTGCAATGCGGGGGGGGGAACCCCATATAGGGGCGAAATCTCACTGCTATGCGAAGATCCTCCATAGCGCCGCCATTTTCGCCGCCTCGGTAAGCGAGGAAATCGCGTGAAAATGGTTGCGGTGGCCATTTTGGGCAACCAGCGGCCATTTTGGAACCGCCGATCAGCTGTTCCGCAAACATCGCAATGCGAAGATCGGTAAGCGAATCACCGATCATCGCAATGCGATGTTTAGGCTATTAAAACATCGCAATGCGATCGCATTAGCTATCCCAAAAAATAGATCGCTATGCGGATTCGGCGTTAAACAGTGCGCTCGTTATGCGAGGCACCACTGTATATGCATTTAAATGGGTGGAAATCTGTTAGCCTTTTCTCCCTCCCTAATGCCTGAAATTGCTTTTTATTCCATCTCCACCCATTTTTTTATGTGAAGATCTGCAGTGATGGATCATATCGTCAGTTTTTTGAGAACTCATTTCTGTGAGGACTTGAGAGCTGTAGATAATGTTCAGTCCCTTTTTCTGAATGTCTCTTATTCTAATTCTGCTACCATAATAAAATATGAGCTTCTTCTTTGTGGTCTCTGTGAATGCACACTAATGGGTTAAGTCTGCACATGCACAGAGGACTCAAAATATTCTGGAGCAGAAAACTTGCTAGGACCGCCCCCGCCTGCAACCCACGTGGTCCACCCATCCTAGCGGTTACCTCAGTTCCTTTTTTTCCGCTGCTGAGGTCTCTTCTCAGGAGCTCTCTGTCTCGGAATAATTGGTTCATCCTAAATAGAAAGATCACTATCGTCAGTTATTTCATGAAATAGTTTGTATTGCTTATTGATTATTCCTTATTATTA